CTCTTTTTAAATTTTTAAAGAGCAAAGATGTCACTTTGAAGACTAAGGTGCACCTAACCCAAGGCACGGTATTTTCAATTGCCTCATATGCATTGGAAAGCTGGACAATGAATAAGGAAGACTGAAGAAGAGTTAATGCCTTTGAATTGTGGTGCTGGTGAAGAATACTGAAAATACCATGGACTGCCAGAAGAACAAACAAATCTGTCCTGGAAGAAGTGCAGCCAGAATGCTCCTTAGAAGCAAGAATGGCTCACCTACTTTGGTGATGCTGTCAGAAGGGGCAATTCCCTGGAGAAGAATGTCACACTTGGTAAAGTAGAGGGTCAGTGAAAAAAGGGAAGACCTTCAACAAGATGGAATGGCAAAGTGGCTGCAACAATGGGCTCAAGCATAGCAAGAATTGTATGGATGGCACAGGACAGAGCAGTGTCGCGTTCTGTAGTACAACAAAAAAACAAGCCAAACTCACTACCATCTAGTCGGATCCAACTCACAGCGACCCCTCTTTGGGTTTCTGAGGTGTTATCACTATGGAAGTAGATTGCCCAACCTTCCTTCTGACGAGTGGCTGGTGGTTTTGAACCACCAGCCTTATGGTTAGCAGTCAAATGCCTTAGGCACTATGCCACCATAGCTCCCCTGTTGTACACTATAAGTCACTATAGGTCACTATAAGTCAAAGCCTACTTGACAGTACTTAACAACAACAACAGGTGGCGCAAAAGTTTGTGCTCAACTATTATCTTACAGGTTGGCAGTTCTAACCCACCCAGCAGTACCATGGAAGAAAAGGGCTACAATTCTGCTTTAGCTGCAACCAAGAAAACCCAATGGAATAGTTCTACTCTGCAACACACAGGGTCACCATGAGTTGGGATCAACTTGATAGCAAGTAACAACAACAAATCCTTTATGCACACTTTTAAACTGCATTAATAAATCTTAATTAAAATAAAGAAATATTTTAATGAAATGTTTTTCTTAATTAGATATTAAAAGAAACATCACTGTTTACCCTGCAGAAGCAACTAGGTCATTTTCCTGGGCTTGCATAAACTGGGACTCTTCTTTTGGTTCACCAGAGTGAGAATATGAAACGCTATTTTCAGTCTGTATACATGGTGATATCACATCCTTTTCCTCCTTGTGACCTGATTCAACTCTTTCTCTTGGTGTCATTAAGGAACCCACATCCTACAAGGCAGATAAAAAATTTTTTCAACTAGGGTTGGTACAGGTACAGGGAAATAGGAACATCTTATACTATTAGTACAAAAGTAAATTGGTTCAATCTTCACAGAGGGTAATTGGACAGTATCTATCAAAATTTTCAATTCCCAGTAATTCTATATCTAACAATTTATTTTACAAAAATACTCAATTATCTACAAATATAAAGAAATTTTACTATAGCAACATAATAGCAAAAAAAAATTGTAAACAACATCAGTATCAATAGGGGATTGAATAAATGATTAAAATCTTCACAATGCAACAGAATATAAAACCACTGCCATTGAGTCAATTCCAACTCATAGTGACCCTATGGGACTGAGTAGAACTGTCCCATTGGATTTCCAAGCCTGTAAATCTTTACAGAAGCAGAATGCTCATCTTTCTCTCCTGGAGCCGCTAGTAGATTCAAATTGCCGATCTTTTGGTTAGCAGCCAAGTGCTTTAACAACTGCAGCACTACAGCACTGTGCAACAGTCTTGGCTGTTTAAATACAGCCATTTAAAATAAGTTAAATTTAAGAACTAGATGGTGCCCAGCTACCACTGTCATCCACTTGGAAGGGGATCTGTATAGGAGATCCTAGATAGAGAGAAAGAACAATGTGGAACAAAACTCAAAATCATCTGGAGGAAAAAAAAAGGGGGGGTGGGGACCAGGTTTGCTGGTTTAATAGAGCCTGGTGGAACCACTGAGACTATGGCCCCTAGCTGCCCTTCAGGTCTGGAATTGAAGCCACACCTGTGGTTTCCAGCCAAACAAAACATAGGCATATGAGTTGAACATTTACCTCAGGTAGATACACTCCTTGGAGAGAACAATCATGGGAGAAAGAAGGGCTGCTTATGCACAGGGAGACAGCTCAGGGGGCAGGAGTGCATGGAGGGATGGACATAGGGAAGAAGTAACTATGGGGAGGAAATGGGAGGGGAGCTGTTGCATTGTGGTAAACTGTGGTCAATGTCATGAGACAAAGTATATGTGAACCGCTGTATGGAAAGTGAATTTGCTCTGTAATATAAATTGGAAAGATGTATATAATCTAAAAACTGATAGTCCTTTGTAATGTCACATCCCTCCCTCCCAAGTTACTATCAAACCTTTCCTTTTGAATTTTCCTTTTGATACAGCATTGTGGACTGCTTTCTGGAGCAGTGCATTTAAATTTAACTTATTTATTTATTTATTTTTAAAACTGTGATTTGGGTGAAGGTTTGATACTGTTTTCATTTAAATAACAGAAATACATGTACATTTTATTCCTCATATAAGTGAATATCTATAGAGAAAAGTTTAGATAGATATATTCAAAACTACTACATTAGTAACTTGGGAGGGAGGGATGTGACATTACAAAGGACTATCAGTTTTTAGCTTATGTACATCTTTCCAATTTAAAATTTTTATAACCAGAATAAAGAATTAATAAATGATTTATCTTTTTAAATATAAGATTAGGAGTATAAATACAAATGTTGATACAAGGTAAAGAACTAAAGCTATTATAGGATGTCAAAAATTTTAATTCAAAAAATGTTTAGAATGCTCAATTTATAAATATTAACAGTTCATTTCAAAGTTTTGACACAATCTTAATCTGTTATGGATCAAGTCAGTAAGTAAAGGTATCTCCTTTAACTCATATCAAGCTTTTAATTTTCATTTCATCTTCACAACATAGTAATATAATAAAGTAGTAGTAGTAGTATTAATATAGTACTATTATGAAGAAACTTATTACTTCATTTGGCTATGGTCACACAGTGAGTAAAGGTCAGAACTTGAACTAGAGCCCAGGCTTCCTAAATGCCTTCACATGACACACTTTCCCATTATCAACATCTAAGATTCTTACACAAAGTACATGAAGCAAAGAGGTTAACACAGAACAATATCATACAGTAAAAATAATACGAAGAAAAATTTGTAAAATTATACTTCTATGTGTTTCACTTTAGTCATACTAACCAGTTGCTGTCAAGCTGATTCCAACTCACGGTGACCCCATGTGTATCAGAGTAGAACTGTCCTCCATAGGGTTTTCAACAGCTAATTTTTCAGAAGTAGACTGCAGGTCTTTCTTTCCCGGCACCTCTGAGTAGACTCAAATCTCCAGCCTTTCAGTTAGCAGCCAAGACCATTAACCATCTGCACCACTGAGCGGCTTACTAATAACATCAGTGACACGGCAAAAATCAAACAAAGAAAAAATTTCATCTTAAATTATCACTCACATCTTGAGAAGGGTGGTTATTAGTTTCTTCACTGTTTTGTTGTATCGTAAGAGTCTCCATTTTATCAGTTTCCAATTTCTTCTCAGGTATGTATTTTCCTGTGTCTGTATTCTCTCTCCTTAAAGCTGCTCTTGCTAAGTTTGGTTTTGGTCTTTTGAATCGACTTCTCACAAAAGGTGCTGTTTTAACTTCAAATGGATTCTGTTCTTGAGGAAGAGATTTGCTTTTGGAACAAGAATTATCTAGCTTTAGAATGAATTGAAGGGCAATGGGACAAGAGTTTACAACAACCTTAGAGACTGGCATTACTAATTCTTAACAGAAAAACAAATTGGACTATTTGGTAGATGTTAAAAATACAAGTGAAAAATCCATTTATGACCATATAAATAAAATCATCTTTGCACAAAAAAGATAAAGGTTTGCTAAACCTACACTGACTTAGGAGTATGTGATACATATAATTCTGTGTGTGTCAGTAATTCTCACAGTTAACTTTCAGAATGACCTCAATTCTTTTTCCCAGCCTTCTCAAAGCTATCATTTGCAAACATAACTTTATATACTTTATTTAAAAGTACACATTTATATACTTATACCTTAAATTAGTATATGAAAACTGCTCTGGGCCATCTGGAGACTGTATCCCTTGGTCTTCTGTTATACCAACTTCAGAAGTCTGTAAAGAAGTCTTTGACTCACTTAACTGACTTGATACTTCCTTTTCAGAATTTCTTTCTTCTTCTACAGATGTATGCAGTGTCAAGAGCATGTCACTGCTAATGTTCTGGAGAACAGTCACAATAAATCAACACACTTACAAGATTAATTCTTAGACATTTCTCACATTTCAAAGAAAAGCCAAAACACTTTTCTTAAAAAAAATCTGTAAGTTTATTTTTAATTTCTAAATGAAATGAAATTTAATTTTCAAATGTTAAAACTAGAGTTCAGGTAACTCTTCATTTTATATCACATATAATGATTTTTCCAAACCATATACGCCATTACTTATACAAAAAAAAAAAAAGTCCTCAAAAATGTTAAAATAGAATAAACTTCAAGTAACTGGAAACCCTTAAGAAACTTTTAAAAAGTAGAATAAAGGGGACAGGGCAGGAAATAAAGAGAAAAACAGATACAAATATGATCGAAAGAAGTAATTCCAAAGTATGGTTATACAGAATTAGCACAGATTCAGTACAATTTCCTAGCTCTTTTTCTCTAAAAGAGTAATTTCAAACTGACATTAAAATAGTAACTAAGTTTCTTCAAGATTCCAAACATAGGGTTGTAAAGGACTTTAGACTTTCAGAGATTTTAAATATTGAGCATAAGGGCAATAATCATGGAATTACTCTGGTAACTTTTCTCTGAAAAAGTATTCAAAATTAACTTTTAAAGGACAGAAAAATACTTACTTGTATATCCGGTGGAGGCATATGGCTGCAGTGATCACTACTGCTCTGTATTAAATTTGTCTCGGTTTGTCTTGAGCTACCATCCTCCTCTGGTTCACTTTTCCTTGGAGCAGTATCTATTTTTGCAGTATTTTTCAAGTCTGCTACTGTTTCCTCAGTAGCACTCATCTCTTCTGATCCTCTTTCTCTCAAGAAAATTTCTGCTCCAGTGTCTTTCAAATCCTCCATTTCCTCAAAAATGGTCATCTTTCCTGATAACTTGTCCATCAGGAAAATGTTTTCTTTTCCAGTTTCTTTCAAATCAATCTCCCTTTCTTCTATGGCACTGACCTCTTCTAGTACCTTTTCCCTTGGAGAAATTTCTCCTTCAGTTTCTTCCAAATCTGTCTCTACCTCACCTATAGTCGTGACCTCCCCTTGGGACTTTTCCCCTGGGAATATTTCTCTTCTTCCAGTTTCTTCCAAATTTCCCTCTCTTACCTCAGAAGTACCAATTATATCTGGTATCTTCTTCTTTGGGGAAATTGCTTTTCTAGTTTCTTCCAAATCTGTCTCCATTTCACCTACAGTCTTGACCTCTTTTAGCACTTTTCCCTTTGGGGATATTTCTCTTTCCTTTTCTTCCAAATCTGTCTTTTTTTCCTCAGAGGTAGCAATCATTTCTGATATCTTCTTCCTAGGGTAAATCTCTCTTTCCATTATTTTCAAATCTTTGTCCATTTCACTTACAGTACTGACCTCCTCTGGAGTCTTTTCTGGTTCCTGTGGGGATGTTTCTCTTCTTCCAGTTTCTTCCAAATCTGGTTCTCTTTCCTCAGTAGCAGCAATCATTTTTGGTATCTTCTTCCTTGAAGAAATCTCTCTCTCAGTTTTTGGCAAACTTTTCTCCACTTTACCTACTATCTTAACCTCCTCTGGGGCCTTTTCCCATGGGGATATTTCTCCTCTTCCAGTTTCTTCCAAATGTGTCTCTCTTTCCTCAGAGGCAACAGTCATCTCTGGTATCTTCTTCCCTGGGGAAACCTCTACTCTAGATTCTTCCAAACCTGTCTCCACTTCACCCACAGTCTTGACCTCTTCTGGAGCCTTTTCTCGTGGGGATGTTTTTCCTCTTCCAGTTTCTTCCAGATCTTGCTCTATTTCCTCAGAGGCAGCAATCATTTCTGGTACCTTCCTCCTTGGGAAAATTTCTCTTTCAGTTTTTTTCAAACTTTTCTTTATTTCACCTACAGTTTTGACCTCCTCTGAGGCCTTTTCCTGTGGGGATATTTCTCCTCCAGTCTCTTCCAAATCTGGTTTTCTTTTCTCAGAGGCAACAATCATTTCTGGTATCTTATTCCTTTGAGAAATCTCTCTTTCAGTTTTTTTCAAACTTTTCTTCATTTCACCTACAGTTTTGACCTTCTCTAAGGCCTTTTCCTGTGGGGATATTTCTCTTCCAGTCTCTTCCAAATCTGGTTCTCTTTCTTCAGAGGCAACAATCATTTCTGGTATCTTCTTCCTTCGAGAAATCTCTCTTTCAGTTTTTTTCAAACTTTTCTTAATTTCACCTACAGTTTTGACCTCCTCTGAGGCCTTTTCCTGTGGAGATATTTCTCTTCCAGTTTCTTCAAAAGATGGTTCCCTTTCCTCAGAGGCAACAATCATTTTTGGTATCTTCTTCCTTCGGGAAGTCTCTCTTCTAGTTTTTTTCAAACATTTCTCCTCTTCACTTACAGTCTTAACCTCCTCTGAGGTCTTTTCCCGTGGGGATATTTCTCTTCCAGTTTCTTCCAAATCTGTCTCTATTTCCTCTAGAACATCAACCACTTCTGATACGTTCTCCTTTGGGGAAATCACTCTTCCAGTCTCTTTGAAACCAGATTCCATGTCCACAGCAATGTTAATCATTTCTGGTACATTCTCTATAGTGTCTTTTAAATCTTTATCCATTTCCTTAGTAGTATTAGCCTCCACTAGTACCTTCTCATGTGGTAGCCTTGCAATTTCTTTCAAAGCTGACTCCTTTTCGCCAGAGGCAATAATGTTCTCTGGTACCTCTTCCCTTAAGGACAATTCTCTTCTTCCAGTTCCTCTTCTTATATTTGGTTTTGGTTTCTGAAACTGAGTCCTTACAATTGGGGCTTGTTTGACTATATTTGCTTCATTATTCTCTTGAACGCTGCAAAAAAAGATACACAATCAAAGTTTAAACCAAATTGTCAGTTGAAGAAATAAAGAGTAAGAGTCACCAAGAACTCACAAATTAAAAAATATTACGAAAGATCCAGGAGTCTATGGATAATATTTTAACAATGAAAGAAAAAAATTCTACCTTTAGAAATTACAGTAATTTTAAAAACCAAATCTATTTCTTTATAGACAGGCATATATAACAAAAGATTATCTATTAATAATGTCACTCAGGGGAGCAGATAACGGGCCTTGAATCACCTCTTTCTAAATGTCATCTCTACCATCCTATTCAAACACTGTCTGGGAAAGATTCCCCAGTACTCTGCATCGGAGCTTGATCAAGGTGTAACTATTTCTACCTGTTTGCTCTTACTATTTTTACTCAGACTAATGCCCTGCCATAAGTTAAGAAATCATTGGTGTGGCTAGAATTGAACAGCATCTCAAAAAACTATATGGAAGTATGACTTGATTAAGATAAAAACTCACTGCTGTGCCTATATGACTATGAAACCAAAAGAACTAGATGGTGCCCCGCTACCACTGTCATCCACTTGAAAGAGGATCTATGTAGGAGATCCTTGATAGAGAGGGAGAACGATGTGGAACAAAACTCAAAATCAATTGGAGAAAAAAAAGAGGTGGGGGCGGACCAGGTTTGCTGGTCCAATAGAGCCTGGTGGAACCACTGAGCCTATGGCCCCTAGCTGCCCTTTAGGTCTGGAATTGAAGCCACACCTGTGGTTTCCAGCCAAACAAAACATAGGCATATGAACATTTACCTCAGGTAGATACACTCCTTGGAGAGAACAATCATGGGAGAAAGAAGGGCTGCTTATGCACAGGGAGACAGCTCAGGGGG